TGATCGACGTCGCCGCCTCGCTCCGCACCTCGTCGCCGCCTTCGCCGTCGCCGTCGCCGGCCGTACGTGAGCACCTCGCCGTCGCCGTCGCCGGCCGTACGTGAGCACCTCGCCGTCGCCTTGGCCGGCCGTACGCCGGCCACCGACATTTTTTTGTTAGATTTAATTAGATTTTTTTGTTAGGTTAGATGTGTAGTAAGATATGTACGTAGTTCATAGATTTTTTTGTTAGCTTAGATTTTTTTTTGTTAGATTAGATGTGTAGTAATTAATTTGTTTATATTATGTTAGATTTTTTTGTTAGATTAATTATATTTTTTTGTTAGATTACATGTGTGTAGTAATTTAGATATGTAGTTCATAGATTTTTTTGTTAGATTAGTTTTTTTGTTAGATTAGATGTGTAGTAATTAATTTGTTTATATTATGTTAGATTTTTTTGTTAGATTAATTAGAATTTTTTTGTTAGATTAGATGTGTGTAGTAATTTAGATATGTAGTTCATAGATTTTTTTGTTAGATTAGATTTTTTTTGTTAGATTAGATGTGTAGTAATTAATTTGTTTATATTATGTTAGATTTTTTGTTAGATTAATTAGATTTTTTTGTTAGATTAGATGTGTGTAGTAATTTAGATATGTAGTTCATAGATTTTTTTGTTAGATTAGATTTTTTTTGTTAGATTAGATGTGTAGTAATTAATTTGTTTATATTATGTTAGATTAATTAGATTTTTTTTGTTAGATTAGATGTGTGTAGTAATTTAGATATGTAGTTCATAGATTTTGTTTGTTAGATTAGATTTTTTTGTTAGATTAGATGTGTAGTAATTAATTTGTTTATATTATGTTAGATTTTTTTGCTATATTAATTAGATTTTTTTAGAAAAAGGAAAAAAATAAGAAGTAGTTTATATATAGTTGAACTAGCTAGTTCATTTAATAAACTAATTTATTTTACTATATATAGAAGTAGTTTGTTTTTAGTATGTACTACTTATTTATTTATAGTAAGTGCTTAGTAGTTGAACTAGATAGTTGATTTAATTAATAAAACTACTTTTATTTAACTATATATAGAAGTAGTTGCCGCATCGACGTCGGCGATGCCTATCCCGCATCCTCGTCGTCGTCGACTCGGCGGTGGAGACCTGCTTGATTAGGGCCATGTTCGGGACTGGGCTCCGCCGGGCTGGTATTGGGAGGTGCTACCTTCCGGGGGACGTAGTATCGTGAGGAGGCAGCCCGTTGTTGACCCGATCCTTGTTTGGTGGCGGTCGCGTGGGCCAGTGACGGTGGTGAGGCATCCGGACACCGCGGAGGTGGTACGTCACCGTGTCAGCGAGGAGGACGAGCACGTCCATCGCTACATGATTGCATTGGAGGGCAGATTTGACAATACCTGGCAGGTTCTTGAGGGATCTCACTGGAGCTATGATCCTGTGATGGTTCATTATCTTTGGGTGTCCACCACCCTCGTCGATACCCGTCGGGCGCTACAGTTCTAGTTGTATTAGTGATAATATTCGACGATGTACGGACACCAAGAGATGATGTACTTTTGCTTATAATTATTGAATGCATGCTAATTTGAATACTATACTTTATTTTATGATTTGGTTTTGCTTATTTTATGATTTGGTTTTGCTTATTGAATGCTCATATTGGATAAGTTCTCCTTCATTCCCGTGTGCTAGACAATTTGATATAATAATGCATTCGGGAATGAAAGGAGGAGCTACGTACATCGATCATCGATAGTCAACCCGTGATTAATAATAATGATCTAGTTTAATATTTGAATTATGAACGTAGGCCGGAAATGTCGTACTCATCGGACGACGAAAACCGCCCGGGGGAGTGCGACTGGTGCCACGACGACCGAGGTATCTGTGACAGGTTCATTGTGCTGGACGAAGATCGTCGCTTCAGCATTAAACTCGAGAGACCTTTGATGTTCATACGGTACGCAACCGACGATAATAGTTTTTTTCATAATTACTCATGACTTCAACTATTTTAATCATGACAATATGTTTCATCTTTTCCAATTCGACTAGCTTATCCCATGCTTTGCAGGACGCTATGTCTTGGAGAGGATGGGTTTTGAAGACCATGAAAGTTTCGAAACCAAAAAAATTATCCTAAGTACCCATCATGGTGTGGATTTTCAAGTAAAGCTGTACAATGCTCAGAGTGTAACCCATTTTGGTTGCAAAAATTGGGAAGCACTTTGCAAGATGTATGGTTTTGATGAGGGTATGCTTGTTACCATGGATCTTGGTGATCCTACAATCGAGCAAGAGAGACCTACGATTTTCGTCCTTGTGGATACACCTCCAATTCCTCCCCCATGTGAGCTTAACATAGTTATTAAGTAATTTATATTGTTTATTTCAAAATAGTTGACAACTTATTCTCCATTGACAGCTTATTTTCATTCTTCAAAGAATGTGCAGAAGATGGTAGACAGAACCTACTACACCGAAGGCTCCGAACTAACTTATCAGGAGAAAAATCATCTGGTCGCATTTTGTACTGATCTTGAGAATTACAATGTCTACAATCGAACTCCTCAACATTATGGTCAATACGTGCCACTAGTGCATGTGTTGAACTACGGTAACTACCATGGAGATACCCTGGTAAGATTTTTGTACTATTACAACATCCGTGCATCTTTTTGCACACTTCTAAAACTAGTACATCATATGATTGCTAACTATGAAGTTATTACTATGTTTTTCAACAGATAATCCCGAATGATTGTGTGCTTCATCTGATGTATACACACGGTAGCCTTCATGTTTTGAACATACAACCAGGTCGTCCTAGGAATCTCAACTGTCCATACCGGGTTTCTAAAATAAGTGGAGACATGAGAATCAAAGAATGGAAAAAATGTATGGACAGTCGTAAGGAGCTTCTTGGAAGCAACATTCAGCGAAGGGCAAAAATTGGAGACATGATGATCGCCATTCTTCATAATGGAGAGTCAGGGTCTATATTGTTTTATGCTATTTTACCTTAAGGGTGTTTAGGTCCTACCTGATACTGATGATCATGTGTTAAGAACAATTATGTAGGGTTGGGTTCGATGACTATGAGGATGATGAACGTATGACTTATTATTAATAACGAGTAGAAGTTGTATGATGATGCATGATTAGTAGGACGAGTACTTGTTATTATATATGCTGATGTATGCGAGCATGCATGAGTTATTATATCAGCGGGTAAAATGAACATATATATCAGCAGCGTTGGTAAACCAAGGAAGAAGATATAAGAGAGGACACTTCTCTCTATTAGCTAGCTAATATAACAACCTAAAAATAACCACCAAAACCCCTAAAGCAGCCACTTTCCAAAAAAAACATGGACTTTTGGTCCCGGTTGGTGCCACCAACCGGCACCAAAGGCCCCCTGACTGGGCTGGGCGCACAGAGCCACGTGGAGGCACATTAGTCCCAGTTCTTGTTTGATCCGGGACTAATGGGTGGAGGTATTAGTAACGACCCATTAGTCCTGGTTCATGAACCGGGACTAAAGGCCCTCACGAACCGGGACTATTAGGTGTTTTTCTACTATTGTATAGGGCATGGACAACACATAAAACCATTCTGCTTGTTTGCCTCAGCCACTTCGAGAAAATCATGCACGCCCTTAAAGTACTCGGAGGTGTGTCTTGAACCGTACATCCATTGCCGGTTCATCTGCGTGCATTATATATAATTAAGTGTGTCAAAAATCATTACACAACACTAAAACCAAATTAATAGAAGTTCATCATCACACTAAAACCAAAGTACATACATAGTTCTCATCTAACAACATAAAGCTCTGCAGAGCATCTAAATTAATTAAACCATACACTGAAACTATGTAAAACATTTCAATGCGAAAACAAATGCGATCATAATCGCAACCAATGTAACAACTGATCCAACGACATAATGATATCAAGCCTCGGTATGAATGGCATATTTTCTAATCTTTCTAATCTTCAAGCACATTGCATCCATCTTGATCTTGTGATCATCGACGACATCTGCAACATGCAACTCCAATGTCATCTTCTCCTCCTCAATTTTTCAATTTTTTTCCTTCAACAAATTGTTTTCTTCTTTAACTAAATTTAATCTCTCGACAATAGGGTCGGTTGGAATTTCCGGTTCAACAAACTCCTAGGTAAATAAAATCTATGTCACGTTGGTCGGCATAATTGTCATAAACAATAAATGAACCAATAGTTATGAAAAGATAATATATACCACATCCGAATCATAGACAAGACGAGGGCCGACGGGGGCGGATACCAAAACCATCGCACTATATAAGATGCAATAATAAAAGTAAGAAAATTATACAGGTATCTATATAAACATACAAGTAAGAGGCTCACCATGGTGGTGCCGGCGACGAGATCGGCGCGGGCAATCGACGGCGGTGAAGACGGGGATGGGACGTGACGAACCGCTAAACCTAGACAAATATTGAGCAAAATGGAGTTTGGAGGTGGAGCTTGGAGAGGAGAAAACTTAAGTAGTGCGGGTTGGGCATTCCATCGAACACCTCGTGTGCATAGGAGGTGAGCTAGAGCACCACAAAGCTCCCTCCTCGCATGCCACGAAAAACAGAGCAGTGAGAGTGCTCTGCTCGCGGGGTATATATAGGCAACTAATTGGTACCGGTTCATGGCTTGAACCGGGACTAAAGGGAAGCCTTTGGTCCCGGTTCAGGCGACCAACCGGGACCAATGGTGGTGGGCCAAGAGCAAGGCACATTGGTCCCGGTTCGTCCCACCAACCGGGACCAAAAGGTCTAGACGAACCGGGACCAATGGCCCACGTGGCCCGGCCGGCCCCCGGGGCTCACAAACCGGGTCCAATGCCCCCATTGGTCCCGGTTATGGATTGAACCGGGACTAATGGGCTGACCCAGCCTGGACCATTGCCCCCCTTTTCTACTAGTGGTGGCCCGTCGCTGGCGCCCTACACTATGTTCACTACGGACCAGGACTTCTTGACGGCCTGGTAAGCTACGAATGACTGCTGCAATTGCCTACGGTTTATAGAATCTAACATCGCCGTGCATTTCAAAGGCAGCAGCTGGGGGCGGCAGCGGGAGGCGGACAAACAACGTTCAAGAGGACGCATGGGGTATCGATGGGCGAGGACTTGGGGAGAAACCCTCGGCTACTCGGGGTGGTTGACAAGGCCATGGTGCAGATCTCGGTGATGGTGACCAGCAGGTTGTTGGAGCGCTTCCACAGGTTCGACGATGTGGCTGTGCTCGTTGATGTTGGTGGCGGCACTGGTTCTACCCTAGAGATGATCACCTCCAGGTACAAGCATATCAGGGGCATCAACTTCGACCTGCCTCATGTCATCTCCTTCTTATGAATTTGACTTGGTCTCGTCACCTTGTGAATATGGTAATGTGCGCTTTCTCTATAAACTTTTACACACAACTCATTTACTCTTTATCTCTTAGCACACTCTCCTAACCATTGTATGCTCTCTCTCTCTCTCTCTCTCTCACACACACACACACACACACACACACACACATGAACCGCGGGCAGTGCTAGAGAGTGCCCCACTCTCATCGCGCCAGTCTTTTGTGATGTAGTGGGCTCTCTGCTTGTAGTGGAGTGTTCAAGGCGCACCGAAAACGCCCGAACTTATGTCGATGGACCGGGAGCTGGTCCTGGGTTGCTAACAAGTTGTTTTAGAGCCGTTCCTAGCCCCAGGCCAGTCTTTTGGGGTGTGGCGGGTTCTCTGCTAGTAGTTGAGTATCTGATGCACACCGAAAACATTCGAACAGATGCCGATGGACTGGGAGCTGAGCCTGGCCTGCTAACAAGTGGTATTAGAGCTGCCCCCACGCCATCCTAAGGGGGGCTTCCCTAGGGGGTGGGGTGTCAAGAACCAGACACTCGGGTAGTGCCAATAACTTTAGTCCCACCTCAGATACGGGAGCAGGCTAGGACCTCCTTATAAGGGAGAGTGTAACGCTCTCCTCAGGCTCGTGTTTTGGAATGTAGCGGGCTCTCTGCTTCTTGTCTACTCTCCGATGCACACCGAAATGTTTGAACCTATGTCGATGGACCGGGAGCTGGTCCGGGCTGCATTGTACTATCCTGAAAGAGTGTCAATGTAGTGGATTATCCTATATCGTGTTAATAAATTGCATTAATTAATAATTGAACATTCTACCACTTCAATGTAATATTCTCAAGGAATTAGACTTGTTATGATTATTCCAGGCCTATCTGACTGTTTGGGTTGTCTCCCGGCCTAGATTCTCCTTTCCAGGCATTATCATCCAAGTTGGCCTACCAAATAAAATGCCTGAGAAATTGGGAATGCATATCTTAATTGGAGGGTTGTACTTTTGGTTGTTAGCGTATACACAAACGGCTTATTCTTATCTCCAGGACGTATGCATCATCATTAGCCTCCTGTAAACTCAACAATTTAATTTTAAGTACTAGAGCCTATAGATCGAATGATCAACACACATGTGAGTACGTGCTGTGCACACGTACCCGCGGAACTTTTAACTCAGTAGGAATACCATCAGTTTCCTCAATTCAATGGATTAATTTCTACTAGAAAAAGCATCGACGCCAATATTTTTCTCACGAGTTCATAAGGGATCAGGTAGAAAAATGTTGTTATCCAGCAAAACCAAACACCTATCACTCAACTCTTTTGTCTTTCCTTGTTTTTGTATTGCAACTGTAGTCTCTTCTTTTGCATGGACGTTGTGACTGTACATTTAGATCTTATTTGTATCATTTTCTATTGTTGAGTTCTTTCATCTATGCTTTCATGTGAGATAATTGAGAACTTAGCTAGTAATGTCAACCCAATGCAGGTGTCGAACATATAGCTGGAAATATGTTTGATAATGTTCCCACTGGAGATGCCATTTTCTTAAAGGTATATATATACGAACTACTGTATCTAGTTCCATTCTCTGTCATTCTATATTCCATATGGTGTAAAGTCTAATATTACTCAAAACCTTGTAGATACGTGATACGCCCTCATTATTTCATATATAAAGTATTTTTCAACCAAAATATAGAAATGATGTCAATAGAATATTTCTTCAAAATAATTTACTACTACTGACAAACAATGCATTCGACTTGTAATTCTATAAACACATTGGTAAAGTAATAAAAGTATTTATCTAGGGTCCAAGCAATTAAGGTGGCTGCCCTTGTGCAGAACTAATCAAACCACATGTTTTCTCTTACTAAGATTTTCTCCGCGGTGCGATGTCGGACAGTGACAGACAGCCCCTCAAAAGTCGTGACGGAAAACCACACTCCTCATATGAAAACCCTCAATTCCATGGAGATCCATGCACATCGATCATATAGCAAAATTCAACACCAATTCAACAATCCAGCGCTGCAACAAAGCAAAACGTACCACAACTCAACATTCAAACATGCCAAAATTGAATTCAAAGTTCGTGTACAATAGTGAATCTGCAATGTTTTCATTGTGACAAACAAAGAACATTCTGTTGTGCTAAATAAATCCCCTAAATATTTGAGAATGCAGAGCAGACTTAAACTACACTTCGAGCAAAGTAGGTTTAATATTACATAACATATTCTAGATACTGAATATTTCTTGAATGTACATACAGACGGTACTCCATATGTTGGATGACAATGACTGCATAAAGGTTCTAAAAAATTGCAATCAAGCTTTGCCAGACAAGGGGCGGTTGATCGCTGTTGAGTTTGTCTTGCCGGCTACTCCAGAGGTGACAAGAGCAGCACAAAATCTCTACATTCTCGATGTGATGATGTTAAATAACTCAGAGGGTGGGAAGGAGAGAACCGTGGAAGAGTTTCTGAAGCTTGCTAGGGAATCGGGTTTCAGCGGCACCTTCCAGTCAACTTACATTTTTGGAAACTTTTGGGCTCTCGAATTTACCAATTAGTAACCATCGCATTTTATGTACATGCTGGCTACTATTGATAATGTGTGTGAGATTGGCTTTGTATTATTTATTCCAATAATGATGGCCTTTTTATCAAAATAATGCATATGTATCATTATTTGTACCATTTAATATAATGATGATGTTGGTATAATTGTTTATATTGCTTATATTTGAATAAAAATGTTAAAAACTAGTTATCGAGGTATTCTAGGTGTATTTTTGTATTGCCAATATTTTTCCGTGAAGAGGTACATAAAAGCACAGAGTAGTTATTCACAATGTCTTACTTTGGCCCTGTAGCCTTTTCCCAGTTACATAATAATAGCACAATTGTTCGTACAGTAAAAAAAATCAATAGATCAACAAAATTGGTAATTTATTGTTTTTTAATAAATGTTTGAGTTTGTAAGCTCAAGATGAATCATCGAGTGGGTACACACACAATGAGCACACATCCAACCTCTACATAGTTAGGATGCACACAATCAACACTAACACAAGCATGCAAAAAAAACACCAGTAAATATCAAAGTCATATTAGACTCAAGTTTTTTTGACCGACAAATAGCACAATGTCTTGTTGGTCTGCCATTAAGGGGCGTGACCTCAGATAGCATAGGAAAACCCCTCAAGAGTCCCGCTATACAACCACACTATTCATATCAAAACCGTCAAATTCATGCAAATCCATGCACATTCATCATATAGCACAAATTCATAACCAATCCAACAATGCAACAAAGCACAATGAGTGATAGGAAACATGGCGACGAAGCTCGATAAGAGCGGAGGAAGAAGTTGGGAGGACTCCACGAACGGATAGGAGGATGACTTCGAAGGGAAGGATTAGGACAACCACTCGTACATCTAGGTGCTATATACATGGTTTTTAACCCCTTTCCGCGACGACATTTGGAACCGTCGCCAAGTGAGTGCGGGCGATAGGGGGGTCCTTCCCACACGACCCAGAAACCATCAGGGATAGGCCCTCCTATCACACAGACTGGGGCAAAATGATCTCATGTGCGATCGGGCAAGGCATCACAACCCAATAGTTTCCGTTCGTATGTACACCCCACAGTCAATCCAAGGAATACGTTTTCGTTCTTATGTACATCCCACACAGTCAATCCAGGGAAAACATTTCCGTTCGTATGTACATCTCACATAGTCAATCCAGGGAAAACGTTTCCATTCATGTGTACATCCACTACTAGGGAAAACCTTATACACAGAATGTTACCAATAGCGCTTGTTAAAATGAGGCGCTATTGCTACTTAGCAGTAGCGCGTCGGCTAGAACGGCGCTACTGTTACACGCTTAGCAGTAAGCGATAGGGGCACAACGCGCTACTACTATAATTGCCACACCGATCCCGACGTGCTAGGTATAGTAGTAGTGCCCTTCTAGGAACAACGCTACTACTACCACTAGTAGAAAAGGGGGCAAAGGTCCAGGCCGGGCCAGCCCATTAGTCCCGGTTCAGTCCAGAACCGGGACCCATGCACTAGTAGAAAAACACCAATTAGTCCCGGTTCGTAAGGGCCTTTAGTCCGGTTCATGAACCTGGACTAATGGGTCGTTACAAATACCTCCACCCATTAGTCCTGGTTCAAACACGAACCGGGACCAATGTGCCTCCACGTGGCCGGTCCGCTGAGCCCAGTCAGGGGGGCCTTTGGTCCCGGTTGGTGGCACTAACCGGGACCAAAAGTCCATGTTTTTTTTACAAAAGTGGTTGCTTTAGGGGTTTTGGGGGTTATTTTAAGGTTGTTATTAGCTAGCTAATAGAGAGAAGTGTCCTCTCTTATATCTTCGTCCTTGGTTTATCAACGCTGCTGCTATGTTCATTTCACCCGCTGATATAACATGCTCATGCATGCTCGCATCATACATCATCATATATAATAACAAGTCCTATGCATCATCATACAACTTCTACTCGTTATTAATAATAAGTCATACGATCATCATCCTCATAGTCATCGAACCCAACCCTACATAATTGTTCTTAGCACATGATCATCAGTATCAGGTAGGACCTAAACACCCTTAAGGTAAAATAGCATAAAACAATATAGACCCTAACTCTCCATTATGAAGAATGGCGATCATCCTATCTCCAATTCTTGCCCTTCGCTGCTTGTTGCTTCCAAGAAGCTCCTTACGACTGTCCATACATTTTTTCCATTCTTTGATTGTTATGTCTCCACTTCTTTTAGAAACCCGGTATGGACAGTTGAGATTCGTAGGACGACCTGGTTGTATGTTCAAAAAAGAAGGCTACCATGCATATACATCAGATGAGGCACACAATCATTCGGGATTATCTGTTGAAAAACATAGTAATAACTTCGTAGTTAGCAATGATGTACTATAGTTTTAGAAGTGTGCAAAAAGATGCACAGATGTTGTAATATAGTAAAAAATAATATTACCAGGTAGTTACCGTAGTTTAACACGTGCACTAGTGGCACGTATTGACCATAATGTTGAGGAGTTTGATTGTAGATATTGTAATTCTCAAGATCAGTACAAAATGCGACCAGATGATTTTTCTCCTGATAAGTTAATTCGGAGCCTTCGGTGTAGTAGGTTCTGTCTACCATCTTCCGCACATTCTTTGAAGAATGAAAATAAGCTGTCAATGGAGATAAGTTTGTCAACTATTTTGAAATAAACAATATAAATTACTTAATAACTATGTTAAGCTCACATGGGGGAAGAATTGGAGGTGTATCCACAAGGACCCAAATCGAAGGTCTCTCTTGCTCGATTGTAGGATCACGAAGATCCATGGTGACAAGCATACCCTCATCAAGACCATACATCTTGCAAAATGCTTCTCAACTTTTACAACCAAAATGGGTTACACTCTGAGCATTGTACAGCTTTACTTGAAAATCCACACCATGATTGGTACTTAGGATAATTTTTTTGGTTTCGAAACTTTCATGGTCTTCAAAACCCATCCTCTCGAAGACATAGCGTCTTGCAAAGCATGAGATAAGCTAGTCGAATTGGAAAAGATGAAAAATATTGTAATGGTTAAAATAGTTGAAGTCATGATTAATTACGAAAAAAACTATTGTCGTCGGTTGCTTACCGTATGAACATCGAAGGTCTCCTCGAGCTTAATGTTGAAGCGACGATCTTCGTCCAGCTCAATGAACCTGTCGCAGATACCTCGGTCGTCGTGGCACCAGTTGCACTCCCTCGGGCGGTTTTCGTCGTCCGAGTACGACATTTCCGACCTATGTTCATAATTCAAATATTAAACTAGATTATTAATCACGGATTGACTATCGATGATGTACGTAGCTCCTCCTTTCATTCCCGAGTGCATTATTACACCAAATTGTCTAGCACACGGGAATGAAGGAGAACTTATCCAATATGAGCATTCAATAAGCAAAACCAAATCATAAAATAAAGTAGTATTCAAATTAGCATGCATTCAATAATTATAAGCAAAAGTAGATCATCTCTTGGTCTCCGTACATCGTCGAATATTATCACTAATATAGCATCACTAATACAACTAGAACCGTAGCGCCCGACGGGTATCGACGCGGGTGGTGGACACCCAAAGATAAGGAACCATCACAGGATCATAGCTCCAGTGAGATCCCTGAAGAACCTGCCAGGAATTGTCGAACCTGCCCTCCAATGCAACCATGTAGCGACGGACGTGCTCATCCTCCTCGCTGACACGGTGACGTACCACCTTCGCGGTGTCCGGAAGCCGCGGCACCGTCACTGGCCCACATGACCGCCACCAAACAAAGATCGGGTCAACAACGGGCTGCCTCCTCACCAACCTATGTCCCCCGGAAGGTAGCACCTCCCAATACCAGCCCGGCGGAGACCAGTCCCGAACATGGCCCTGATCAAGCAAGCCTCCACCGCCGAGTCGACGATGACGAGGATGCGGGATAGGCATCGCCGACGTCGATGCGGGAACTACTTCTACATATAGTTAAATAAAGTAGTTTTATTAATTAAATCAACTAGGTAGTTCAACTACTAAACACTTACTATAAATAAATAAAGTAGTACTTACTAAAAACTAACTACTTCTATATATAGTAAAATAAAGTAGTTTATTAAATCAACTCGCTAGTTCAACTATATATGAAGCACTTACTATAAATAAAATAAAGTAGTACTTACTAAAAATAAACTAGTATTTTGCTAACTAATTATATTAAATACTTTTTCTTCTTATTTTTTTCCTTTTTCTAAATACTATGAACAAAAAAATCATTAAAATTCTATAAACAAAATTACAACAGAAAAAAATCATAAAGATTCTATGAACAGAAAAAAATCATAAAAATTTGACATATTCGATCTTTGCATATATATGAACATTCAAACATGCATATTCAACAATAATATCACCCAAAAAAATCTATTAACAGAAAACAAATCTAACAAAATATGAACAAATTAATTGCACAAGATGAAAAAAAATCTATGAACTACACATCTAAATTACTACACATCCAACAAAAAAAATCTATGAACTACAAAAAAACTAAAAAAATCTAACAAAATCTAACAAAAATCATAAAAAATCTAACAAAAAAATCTACTAACAGAAAAAAAAATCTAACATAATATGAACAAATTAATTACACAATCTAAATTACACAATATGAACTACATATCTAAATTACACCACATCTAATCTAACAAATAAATCTAACATAATATGAACAAAAAAATCACCTAAGAAAAAAAATATGAACTACATATCTAAATTACTACAAATCTACTAACAAAAAAATCTACTAACAAAAAAAAAATCTAAATTAATTACACAATCTACTAACAAAAATATGAACCACATCTAATCTAAAAAAATCTACTAACAGAAAAAAAATCTAACATAATATGAACAAATTAATTACACAATCTAAATTACACAATATGAACTACATATCTAAATTAGTACAAATCTAATCTAACTAATAAATCTATGAACTATACA